TGAGGATCATTTTTCTGATGCCAAGGATGGCACGACATAAGGATGTGAACCTCACTTCATCCTGGCCTAAGCTGAGCTTAGGAGAACAGGAGTAAACCACAATATTTTTGAGCCTCTGCTCTGTGGCAGCTCTACTTTGCTGTCTACATTACTCATGCTGTTGTGTTGAAGCTAAATGCGCATCCCCTCAACAACATAGGTGAGTTATCTGGGGTGCCCAATTACTTAACTAGTGGTGGAACTGGGTCAAGATGCCCACGGGCTGCACAGTGGTAGCTAACCCAGGGGGAAAGAGAAGAACCTTCAGGCTTGGCCCCTAGACTTTACTGGCTCTGCTTCAAGGTTTATCTATTTGCTTTTATGTTTGGTCGTGCTGGGTCTTAGCTGCGGAGAGCAGGGGCTTCTGTTGCAGGGCACAGGCTCTGGGCATGTGGCTTCAGTAATTGGGGCCCTCGGGCTCCACAGTGTGGACTCAACGGTTCCGGCACACGGGCTTAGTTGCTCTGTGGCCTGTAGATCTTCCCGGACCCAGAACCAAACTCATATCCCTGGTATTGGCAGGCAAATTCTTAACCACCAGAGAAGCCCTTATTGGCTCTGTTCTAAATGACTTTATTTTATTTATTATTAGTTTTTTTTTTTTTAATTTTTTATTAACACGAACCAAGAGCCGTGGATTCCTGAAAGACTGGGCATCAGATGGACCAGCCATGATGCCTTCATTCTAATTGGATTTCCTGTCCTCCTGGCCAATGACAGGCAAGCCCGTTTGCCCTGAATAGTCTTTCTCAAAGCATTTCGAGAACCTTTAGTGGTGGACACCATCAGGAAGACTTTGGCAGGAGGCCCGTGAAATAGGTCAGCATTTTCAAAGCAGTGTCCTGATTTGGCTCAGGGGAAAAGATAGGATAGAGGCTTAGCTAAAGCTGTCATTCTGAAAGAGGGTATTCAATTTATTTTGATCCTGTGTAGCAGGAATGACGGCCGTGTGCACCATACAAATGCAGCTCGGGTCACATGTTGCTTCTGTGGGTTAAACCCTTAGCACTGGGGCAAGGACAATGGAAGGACGTCTGTGTGTGCTGAGGGTGTCCCAGGCGTATTGTCCCAGAGATCCGCGACACACCCAACCAGCTGCAGTCGTCTTTGGGTTGTTGAAAAAGGAAACAGGAAAGATGGGAAGAAATCCCAGGCCAGCTGGCAGCTTCCATGTGAGTGTTTCATCACAGGGGACATAGTATGGGCCGATGCCTTAAAGGTTAAGAATTGATAGGAGGCCAGTGGGTTTTTCTGATAAGTAATCTCTCTTGCTTATTTCATATCACTGCAGAGTGCTATTATCTATATTAGTTTGAAAGTGGTCTGTGAAGTAGCTGGTAGGAAAGGTGATTTTTTTAAATATTTTATTTTTAATTGGAGGATAATTACAATATTGCGATGGTTTTTTTTTATAATTAACTTTATTTTTAATTGAAGATAATTGTGCTACAGTTTCTACAATACATCAACATGAGTCAGCCATAGGTATACATATAACCCGCCCCTCTTGTACCTACCTCCCACCTCCCTCCCCATCTCACCCCAGGAAAGGTGATTTTTTTTTTTTTAAGTGTTTACTTGGCAGGGTTGGGTCTTAGTTTAGACATGAAGGATCTTTAGTTGCTTTACAGCATGTGGGATCTCAGTTCCCTGACCAGGGATCAGACCCAGGTCCCCTGACTGGAAGCAGATTCTTAACCACTGTACCACCGGGAAGTCCCAGAAAAGTGATTGTTATCCCCGTTCTGTAGCCAGGGTGACTGTGCTCAGTGAATAGGAGTCGTCTGTGCCGGTCCCATGGCCGATCAGTTGCTGACATGGGATCCAGACGTACATCTTTTCCATCTTTTCTCTGGTTCTGGTGTCTTACATCTTACTAGGTCAGGAAATGCCCTGAAGAGAGAAAGGGTGTGTGTTTTCTGGGGGGTGGGGGGGAGCAGGGAGGTGGATGGGGAAGTGGAAAAACAATAGGTCTAGAGAAGAAAGGTTTTCATTAAAATTCAGGCTGCCAGGCTCTGTCTGAGAAGGGGGTCAAGAACAGAAGTCCCTGCCCAAGTGAGGCCAGTAACGCCAGGGGGAGTGGGGGGGTCAGAGTTCTAATGAAGGCTGGGGGGCGGAGACTGGTTGGGACCACAGGCAAATGTGTAAGAGCATAATGAGCCTTGTCAACAAGAGGCAGAGAGCAGTTGTGGTTCGGCATCAAGGCTGATGGATTCGAATAAGAAACTGCTTTTTTGGAGGAGGCGAAATATCCAGATGCCAAGGAAGTCCTTACTACCTAGCCTAGGTTACCAAACCAGAAAAGCCCCTCTGAAGAGAAAGGCCAGTTTCCCTCAGCCTTGGGTGTGTGAATAAAGAGGGAGAAATGCTAAGCTTCGGGTTATAAGCTTAGTCATTCTATGGGGAGACTCTCTTTGTTGCCATTCAAGTCAACTTAAGCTGATGTTTTGGGTCATATGACTAAAAATTCAGGTAGGGCCGGTTTCAGGTGCAGCCTAAAACAGTGGATTAAGTAATATCAACAAGGCCCTGTTTTTTTTTTTTTTTCCTGTTTGTCTACTCTGCCTTCATTCACACTGGAGCCCCTTGGCAGGTCTAGGTGCTGCCCCTCACGTTTGTAAAATGGCTGCAGCTGTTCCAGGCCTTGCACCATTATTCCATACTGTTCAAGGAAAGACACAGTAGCTGGTGCAGAGGAGTAAAGAAGCAACTGTTTCTCAGAAACCCCAGCAAACATTGGTTCTCATTGTTTTATTTGTCCATTGACCTGAATAACTTAAAGACCATTCATGCAGGGGGTGGGGCGGGCATTTCCACCAAAACTGCATAGTTAAAGTGGTGAAGCAGTAGCTTTTGAAATAAAATTTAGAGGCATTTTTGCCAGAAAGAAAGAGAATGGAGGCTAGGTGGTAAATTACAGGTCTTCCATACCAGCCAAAGGAAGGGGCGAGTGAAATAATGCCAGGTAGATTTTCCCGGGGAATTCTTTGAGTGAGGTAGTAACTCTTGCACATGCATTAGTTAAGAGACTAGACTTAAGCCGTAAAAAAAGACAATAATGGAATGTAAAGAACAAAGATTTATTTCCCTCTCACATGACATCAGCCCAGCAGCTTTGCTTCACACCATTATTCTTGGTCCCACTTGGGTTTTCAACTAGCACAAAAGTGGGGAAGGGAAAGTGTGGAGGAAGCAGCCCCTGTTTGAAGGACTCTGGGTCTTAAGTGGTATGCACTGCTCCATCTCTCATTCCACTGATGGGAACTTGGTCGTTGACCTTGCGTATCTGCAAGGCTGCTGGGAAATGCAGGCCTGCATGCTAGGTGACCAGTGACCAGCTTGCAGCTCTGTAGTTACGGAGAAGTAGGAGAAGAAATTTTATCGAGGAGTTGGCACCTCCATCACAACTTCCACAGTAGATTTCCTAGGAGCTTATCCATTCTGAATGACATTCCTGTGGCAGATAGCACTTCCTCAAAGAAGAACCCACATCCAATTTCCTGCATTTTGGGAACGAGGAATGTTTAATCGCAACTATGTCAGTTACAGTTAGGTTCAAATGCATATGACAGAAAACCTAAGATAGCAATAACCTAAGCAAAGTAAACACTTGCACTTTATTTCTCTTATGTAAAGAACGTTTATCATAATTAACGATTCATCATGGTGACAGGGGCTCTGTTCCACTATCTCAGAATTTGGTTTCCTCCTTAGTCCAAGATGGCTGCCCAAACTCCAGCCATCTCTTCAGCATTTTTTTGGCCAAAAGAGGAATTCAGGGACATTTCCCAGAAACCATAAGCACATTTACACCATTGGTCAGAACTTGATCACACAAGGCACCTGGCTGCAAGGGAAGCTTGAAGTGTAGCTTTCTTTCCTGGCAGGTATGAGCCTTCCCCAAGCTGGGGTTCTCTTGCTGAGAAAGAAGGGGAGAATGGACACTGGGCAACAAGGGGCAGTCTCTGCTAGAGATCATATGCCCCCGTGTCCACTATCGGTGCCGTCTCCTCTGCCTGTGTCTCTCTGCCCATGTTAATTTTTTTTTCTGGTGGGGGTGGGCTGGGCTTTGCCACACTGCATACGGAATTTTCCCCACCAGAGATCGAACCCATGCCCTCGTCCCCTGCATTGGGAACACAGAGTCTTAACCACTGGACCACCAGGGAAGTCCTGCCCATGTGAAATTTTAAAACCCATCTTCGTACTTCTCTGAAGGAAAACCATCAGAATAGCTGATGTTTATTCAGTGCCTGTCAAGTGACAGACTCTGTTCTATGTCATTTATGCTTCACAACAGTGCTCTCAAAGCACTCACGCAGAAACGCTTAGTGTGGGACTGTTGACAGGCGTAGGTAGAGTTGGGGGGACCAGAAGGGCTCGGGGAAGTGGCCAGAGATTAGCAGCAGGAGGAAGCCACGGCCACCCCTGAAAGGGCAAGGGGACAGAGCCGCGCTTAGAGTGTGAAAGGGGGGCTGACGCAGCCCAGGCCCGGGTGTGGGGCTCTGGACGGGAGCCCAGGCCAGCACCGGGAGCCAGGCAGGAGTGGCCCCAGGCGCAGGTCCGCACCCTGACCTGTCTCCCCTCGCACCTTGGAGCTTCTGGCACTGCCAGCCTTGGGCTGGAACCACCTGGAAGGCAGAGGGCAGGGCGCCGGGCAAACAGCGCCCAGAGCGCAGCCTCCCGGGGACGGAGAAGGGCAGGAGTGGATGGGGGGTTGGGGAGCAACAGAGAGCCACTGCGCAGGGTGGTTGCAACCCCATTTTAAGGAAAGGGGGACGGCGGCGGCGGGGAGGGGAGGGCGCTGCCGGCCTGGGTTGCAGAGTGGGGAGGTGGCACAGCCCCGCACTGACCCGACTGTTCCCGAGCACGTGGCCGCGGCTGATGCCCGGTCAGCGCGCGCGTGGCTTGGACAGGGGTGTTTCAGGCCGGAAGTAACCGCGTCACCCTCGCCCTGGCAGGTGGCTATCGCGAACCTCGGCGAGGCCGTGCAGGACGCAGACCTGCTGGTGTTTGTCATCCCCCACCAGTTCATCCACCGGATCTGCGACGAGATCACGGGGAGGGTGCCGAAGGACGCTCTGGGCATCACCCTCATCAAGGTGAGGCGGCCCCTCGCCACGCGCGGGCTCCGGGGAACTTGCGTACCTCTTTCATCTGCTGGGGGAAAGGAGCTGAGGGGAGGGGATGGCTGGTTTGGGTTTGTTTTTTAAGGATATCTGGAAGGGAATCAAAACCACGCGTCTCCTCCTGAGTCTCGCTTTACTCACGTTTTGGAGGGGCTGCTTCCTATCTGGAGGGGGTTCCCAGTGCTGGGCTCCCGCAGGAAAAGATCTTCCTGTCTATCACACGGGGCTGCGCCCTTGCCCTGGAAATCTCACGTGTTTTACATTTGCTGGGAAGTTAATCATCTTTAATTTCCCACTCCTGGATTTATTCCCTGGAGAGGGTGTTTTTAACTGGAAGTCAACAAACCATCCCCAGAGTCCCACAGACAGAATTCAAGAGAGTCATGGACCTAAATGTGGGGATGGAATTGCATTTTTATTTATTTTAACCTCTAACTGAAATGCGCCTCTCCTTCACTTATGAATGTAGTCCACAACCCAGAGTTTCAGTGACAATCTGTTAGCAGGACCTTGACCCTGTGGTGATACAAATTATAGGTATTTTCATTTTACTTTACAACGGCTTCAGATGTCTCAAGGTATCATTTATTCCCAACTACTGGGGAATTATAGTAATTAGACCTGCTATGGCACCTTTTTATAATTGCAGTAAGAAAATATATATATTACTTTGTCACAAATGTAGGTTGTTTTTTTTTTAACATTTGATAACTGTATTTCAAACTAATTGCCTTGCTGGGTAATCTTGTATTTTGCTTTATGCATATGGAGTCTGAGAATGAATCCATAAACTTCACCAGACTGCCAGGGGCAGGTCTGTGTTGTCAAAAACGTTAAGAACCCTCCTGAGAGACTGTGTTTGTAGGTGAATGTTTATGAAAGCAAGCACACTTCAAATGTCAGTCATCGATAGGATGGACGAATGAATGATGGGAAACTACATGGGAGTGAACCAGAATATTCATGTGGCCACATGGGTGAATCTCCCAAATAATAATATAGTACAAAGCAGCACATCACAGGTGAGAGGCACAGTTTCATTTATAGGCTTTCAAAAACAGGCATAGTGATATAACATACTGTTTAGGGGTAGTTTCATGTGATAAAATGAACAAGAAAAACAAGGACACAGGGCATAAATGACGTTGAGGATAGGGGTTCACCCTGGCGGGCACCAGGAAACACTAATGAGGAGAAGGATGAACTTGGGAATAGACCCAGGGGACTTCAGTGGTGCCCATCATGTTCTTTTTCTTAACCTGGATGGTGAGGTTGTTCATTTTCACTTTATCGTTATTCTCTAAATGGTACATACACACTATGTCTGTTTACTCTTAGAAACGAGATTTTTCAGTTGCCTATGCCATTGGAGGTCTGAATCTAGATGACTTGTAAAGAAACGGTCTCCAGCCTCTTGGCCTTGGGGGTTTCTTTTCCTCTAACCCACTGACGTCCTTGCAGGGCATAGACGAGGGTCCTGAGGGGCTGAAGCTCATTTCTGACATCATCCGAGAGAAGATGGGCATTGACATCAGCGTGCTGATGGGAGCTAACATTGCCAACGAGGTGGCCGCCGGCAAGTTCTGCGAGACCACCATCGGTGAGGGCCACTGGGCCAAGGGACGTTACACTGTGTGTCTTAACAGGCACATATTCCATTTCTGGAATTTTCTGTAGTGAACTCTTCCCTGCTCCCGTAACATTCCTGGGGTGGACATTCAGTGGGGTGGAAATTTTATGTTAGGAAGCTCTTCTGTGGGCATGTGAAGCGTTTCTACAAACTCTGGAGTGAAAGTAAAGCCAAGGAGACCATGTGGCCCGCCACAATCCAGTAATGTATCATCGAGGTCATTCGCAAAAATGCAAGGGTGCTTGCTTGTACCAAGAAGCAGGTGGTTGTGTCCATGGTGGAGTGCCCTTGGCCTTAGAAACCCAGCTTTTCTTTTTATTTAAACAACCGGAATTTATTTCTTGGAGTTCTGAAGGCTGGTTCAAGATCAGGGTTGAGCCAACCCTTTTTCTACGGTGAGGGCTCCCTTCTTGGCTTGCAGACAGCTGCCTCCTTGCATGAAGGATGTAGGGGTCAGGGAAAGCAAGTCATGTCACAACTTTGTGACTCCTTGGACTGCAGCACACCAGGCTCCTCTGTCCTCCAATATCTCCTAGAGTTTGCTCAAATTCATGTCCATTGAGTCAGTGATGCTATCTAACCATGTCATCCTTTGCTGCCCCCTTCTCCTTTTGCCTCAGTCTTTCCCAGAATCAGGAGCTTTTCCAATGAATCAGCTCTTCGCATCAGGTAGCCAAAGTTTTGGAGCTTCAACATCAGTCCTTCCAAGGAATATTCAGGGTTGATTTCCTTTATGATTGACTGGTTTGATCTCCATGCAGTCCAAGGGAAACCTAGCTTTTCTTTACTCATAAATGCCAGTGTCTGGAGCCTCATTGGATGCCTCAGAGATCTAAAAATTGATGGGAGTGATCCCCCCTTTCCAAAGGAATAAGCTGAGGCTCAGAGAGTAAGCTCCTTGCCCAAGATCACACAGCTAATATAGAATTCAGACATGAACTTGGGTCTCCTGGTTCCTGAAACAGAAATCTCTTTCTATTCTTACACATCAATGTTGTGAACATGTCCATTTCTTTTAAAAAAGGGCTTCAGAATTCGTAAGTGCCCACATACCATGTTATAGGACTCATAGAATGCTTTGCAGGGTATATTTAAGTTTATCTACCACTCCAGGACTTACTTCCACTCTTATCAAATGAACCAGTGATGGGAATCATTTCTCCTTGGCAGCTTCATGAAAGGAAGCTCTGGAAGAGATCAGGCTCTCTTGAGTAAGATGGGATGGATGGGAAAAGGTTTTTATGCATGCATGTAAGTTAGGACATTTTTAATTTTTTTTCTCTTTTATTTGTAATTGTACAGGCATTACCTGATTACCATGGGACATAGAGATAATCAAAAGAAAGCCGTTTCTTAAAACTTGATTATTTTATGGGCTTCCCAGGTGGCGCTAGTGGTAAAGAACCCACCTGCCAATGCAGGTGGTGTAAGAGATGTGGGTTCGATCCTTGGGTTGGGAAGATCCCCTGGAGGAGGGCATGGCAACCCACTCCAGTATTCTTGCCTGGAGAATCCCATGGACAGAGGCGTCTGGCGGGTTACAGTCTATGAGGTTGCAAAAGAGTTGGACACGACTGAAGCAACTTAGCACGCAAGAAAATTCAAACAGTGCAAGAAAGTATGAAATTAGAATTAAGACCTCCTCCCTTTTCTCAAAGGAAATCATTGTTGATAGTTCCTAAGTATCCTCCCATTAAAAAAAAAGTTGCATATGTATGCTAGGCTGTACTTAGGTTTTATTCTTTTCAGTTCTTTTATTCATCTATGATTTTAATGTAGCCTGTGAAACTGTTATGTAATCACTTTAATTTTTCAAAAATAATTATTAGCTACTTTTTCCAGCTTAATCCTATTTGCCTGTAGTCAGTTTGCTAGTTATTTGGTTGGGATTGACCAGTTAACCCCAGTCAGTCTGTAGGGTTGAGACAGACTACATCTCCAAATTTAAACTGATAGATTTTGGCTAGGATTTCTACCTGCCTGTTAGCCTTGTTATAGGAACGCTCCCCTTTGGGTGCATCAGGCTATTTTACTTTGTAAAGACAGACACACGCACAGAAGTCACATCTGTTTCTCTGGCTTCTGTTTACGCATTGTTTCTGCTGCCTTCTGTGGGTTGGACCATGACTGGCAAGAGTGATCTGATTTAAATTAGATAAAATACTCAAAAGTGAGATAGAACAGGAAAGTGATATTTTCTAAATTTTCTTATATAACCTGAACTTAATCAACAGGAAATATTAGACAAGGCCAAAGGAAGGGACGTGGTACAAAACAAGTGGCCCACACTTTTTGGGGGGAGCAGCACTGTGTGACATATGAGATCTTGGTTTCCCAGTCAAGGATCAAATTCTCGCCCCCTGCATTGGAAGCCCAGAGTCTTAACCACTTGACCGCCAGGGAAGTCCCACAACTGGCCCACACTCTTGAAGAATGTCAGTGTCGTAGGAGACGTTGCAAGTCTACAGGAGAAATCTGGAGGGACCTGGCCACGACGTGCAGTTCAGGATCCTGGGCTGGATCCCAGTTGCCACGAAACCAACCTGGGGCTGTGGGTCAAACAGGCACTGTGAGCCGTGGTGCCCCCTGGCGGTGAGAGCGCCCTTTGCAGGAATGACTTCACCGTGTCTGAGATGTCTGCTCAGCCTGCAGATACTGTCCAAAGTCTGTTCTATATAAGTTGTGGTGCTAAATGTCAGGATGCATAAGCCCCTTCTTTGTGGAAGGAGCTTCTTAGTACACAAAAGTAGAGAATTATGGACTGAGATGTGGAATGTGAAGGAGTCTTATGTAAACAGGTTGATTATCTCCAAAATTTGGTGTGGAAGAGAAGGGGGGTTTTCCTGTCTTTTGGTTCATATTGAGTTTGACAAGCCCTTCCACATGGCTGATGGGCGTTCCCTGTTCTGGATCACATGTCCTGGGTCCCTTCTTGCCTCATCACTGCTTAAGACTGGTAATAATAATACGATCAATGCTTTCTTATCCAAGACTTAGAATAATGGAAGATTTAAAAATTCAAAGGGTAAACATTTGATGCCATTTGCAGCAACATGATTGAATTGAGAGATGATCATTCTAAATGAAGTAAGTCGGACAGAGAAAGAGAAATATTTGATATCACTTACAGGTAGAGTCTGAAATATGGCACAAGTGACCTTATTTATAAAATGGAAACAGACTCACAGACATAGAAAACAATGGTTACCAAAGGGAAAAGGGGTGGGGAAGGGATAAATTAGGAGTTTGGGATCGGCATATACACACTGTTATTTAAAATTGGTAAACAACAAGGTCCTACTATATAACACGGGGAACTGGAGTCAATATCCTATAATAAACCATAGTGGAAAAGAATAAAATAAATAAAAGGTGCGTTTGAGAAAATGTAAGACTCCTTTAAATCGAGCTCACCTCGCTAATGAACCCTGTGCGTAATTTGCAGCACAGACTCCAGCAGACGCCGCCTTGTATCGGTGGCAGATGGAGAACGCTCGTCTCCTGCCACATGTCCAGTTACTCACAGCTGCCGCTGGCTCGATCACAATAGCTCAGTGGAGGGAGTGGGGGCCTGTCTGTGCTGCTCGTGAGCCCCCTTCGTGTTGCAGGGCCCTGGCCCATGGAGAGGAACAGAAGAGAAAGACAATAACTACATCGTGGTGTGGATCTGGGGCTGGTTTACCCAACCCAGGTGATGAAACAGTGCTGCTCGTCTGGAGGACTGTTTATAGAAGGAAGAGGACAGTTTGCTCACACAGAGGGAGCTGTAATATTTGGACGAACGAGCATTCAGCTAAATGACATCATAGCGATGCCTGTAGAATAGGAAATGTTTCTAAGTATCTGGTGTAGCTGTCCTAAACATTTTATGATGGAAAATGTCCTTAAACCAAACAAAAGTAGAGAGAACTGTATTAGGACCCCACACAGCCCATCTTTAGTAATGATTAACTGCTGGCTGGCCTCACTCATCTGTTTCCCACCCTCTCTCTACTCTTGTCTGAACTTGTTTTTTGGTTTGTTTGTTTTAGTTTTTGGCATGCAGGATCTTAGTTCCCCAACCAGGAATCAAACCCACACCCTGTCCATTGGAAAGGTGGGATTTTAACCACTGGACCACTGGGGAAGGCCTCCCCTGGATCATTTTGATATTATATTACTTCTGAGTATAATTTTGTTGAACATCCTGTTTTTTTCCCTGCAGTGGAAGACTATGGCTCTGATTGTAATGTCTGTTTATTACTTCTTTCTTCCCGCCCCTGAGTGGAACATAGCATAGAAAACATAGCATAGAGGTCATATAGGTCCTGGAGCCAGAGCACCTGGGTTAGAATTTGGGCTCTGCCTCTTACTAGCTGTGTGACCGAGGGCAACTCAGTAAACCTCTTTGGGGCCTCTTGTGTGTCAGTGGGGCAAATCAGTCACATGTAAATACCACTATCCCATTGTGATTATATAGACCTTTGAGTGCTTGTTGTAACTAATAGGCAGTTTGCACACCTCATGAGGTTAGAGATCACATCAGAGGTTTTCAAACTTGGCTGCCCATTGAAGTCACCAGGAGAGCATCAGAAATTAGTGATGCCTGCTTGACCCCAGAGCTTGTGATTTAATGGATGCTGGGGTGTGGCTGGCCTTTGGTGTTTTTAAAGATCTCCCGGTGATTGTCATGTGCAGACAAACTTGGGAAACAGGCTTAGGAAACTCAAGGCTGGAAGCGCCCAAGTGCCATGGTCCCCGGGGGAGCTTTCTGCCAGCTCTGTGTGGGAGCTGGGACCGAGCTGGCGAATTTTATCGTCCTGATTTCCAGAGCTGAGCGCCACCCCACACCCCACCAACCAGAGCAGATCTCACATCAGGCTCTATGTGTTAAATTTTAGTTTTGTTTTGAACTGAAAGTCTCTATAAATAGAAAAGTAACATGTGAAAAGTACGATCCTCCACATCATTCCAGGCATGGTCCCAATGGGGAGTAGATATAAGGAGCCTTTGAATGCATTTCCATCCTCCACCAGTGGAGTCACTGAACATGTTTATTGATGTTATATCAGTTCTCTGTTGCCATAGTGATGCTAAGTAACAAATAATCCTGGATTCTTAGTGGCATCCAAAATAAACACAGCTGACACATCTGTGGGTCCACTGGGAGGCGGTGCGGTGCTCCTGTCTTCTCTTCCTGTGGGGTCCAGCAGGCCAACTGGGGTGTGTTCCCACAGTGAAGGCAGATGGACGTGGGAACCGCCCTGCTGTTGCACGAACGGGCTTCAGATTCTGCTGTGTCAGGTCTGGTCCCATTAGCCAAAGCCAGTCACGTAACTGGCTCAGGTGGTAAAGAATCCGTCCACAATGCAGAAGACTCAAGTTCGATCCCTGGGTCAGGGAAGTCCCCTGGGGAAGGGGATGGCTACCCACTCTAGTATTCTTGCCTGGAGAATTCCATGAACAGAGGAGCCTGGCAGGCTAGGTCCGTGGATTGCAAAGAATCCACACGACTGAGCAGCTAACACTTGCACTTTGACCAAAGCCAGGCACGTGACTGAGCCCAAGGGTGGGGAAATTGTCTCACCAACTGAGTCCAGGCATGTCCTGAGGTTAGGCCTTGCATTGGTGGAAAGGGAGGTACTTCCTGCGGAGGGAGCCTGTGTTTATGGTAGCAAAAAGTTGCAACAATTTTAGATCTCAAACAACAGAAAGACACTTAGATAAAATATAATGCGTGTATGCGATAAAATACAAAATGGCCATTTATTAATAAAGTAATGTAGAAAATATAGGATATCACTGAAAATTATTCCTGACATAAATGGGGGAAAGCTGATTGTGAAATCCGTGTTATGTTCTCAATTGAGAAAAACTATGTATATTTCAATTTTGGTAAGTTAAAGATACATGCCAAATTGTTGGTTTTATCTGTGGTGGGATTGTGGAATATTTTAACTGTCTGTTTCTAGTCCTGTGACTTTATGAACTTTCCTATCAGGAACGTATGTCACTTTTGTAATGTGAAAAAGGTCTTTTTAAAAAGATTTTTTATTGGCTTAAAAAAATTTTTTTTTTCATTTTGGGTCACACCCCAGGGCATGGGGAGATCTTAGTTCCCCTAGCAGGAATGGAGCCGTGCCCCCTGCATTGAGTGCCCGGAGTCTTAACACAGGACCGCCAGGGAAGTCCAAAACTCATTTTAAACTGTGTTAGATGCGAAAGTTAAGATGAGAGGCCATTGTTAATTTCCTTTCTTCCCTAACTTTTCAATAGGCAGCAAGATCATGGAGAACGGCCTCCTCTTCAAAGAACTTCTGCAGACTCCTAATTTTCGAATCACAGTGGTGGATGACGCAGACACAGTTGAACTTTGTGGTGCTCTGAAGGTAAAGCAGCCCTGTCATTTCTGCTTACGGGAGGAGTCCTCACGCAGGGCCACTGCCAGCGTCATTGCATCCCATTCTGAGAATGAGGTCTGTGTTCTGCGCTCATACTTCTGGGGAGAATAGTGAATTGGCGGCCTTGTTGGTCACTTCCTGCTCGGCCCCAGCCTTTCCTGGGTGGTTAGATTTCCTCTCGCAGTCATGGTGTGCTTCTGTTTGTAAATCTGGGAGCAGTGTGCTAGTTTGTTCTCTGGGAAGTGGACGGCATGAACATTTGGAAAGCCAGGGGCAGACTCTGATTGTAGAGTCTTACCTGGGAGCCAAGTATTCTGTAATTCCTGCATTTCTCCTACCTGTTATCTTGAGCAGGAAGAGGAACTTGGTTGCTCTGGATGATCTCTTGGTTTGATGGTATGGTTGGTTGTTGTTTTTAAAGAAGAAAAAAACCATCTGCTGCTGGCAGGTTTTGCTAAGAATAGATTAATCTTTGCCTATAAAGGGAAAAGCTCAGATTAAAGAGGCAGCTTGTGTTGGCTAGTGACTTGAGAGAGTCAAGAGAAATTTCCATGTTTGGACTTGGGCTTCTGACTTGTAACCCTCCGCCTTTAAAAGTTATCGTCAGGGGCCTTTCCTAGTGGTCCAGTGGTTAAGACTTCTTCTACTGCAGGGGGTACAGGTTCATTCCCTGGTCGGAGAGCTAAGATCCCGCATGCCTTGCAGCCAAAAAACCAAAACATAAACAACAGGAGCAATATTGTAACAAATGCAATAAAAACTTTAAAAATGGTCCACATTTTTAAAAAAAACTTAGAAGAAAATCATGGTTGGGGTTCCTGTCTGTCCTGACAATGGGCAATAGCCAACAGGGCTGTAACTTGTGAATGTTCTCCCCTTAGAAGCAGAGCTGCCTTACCTGCCATCTCAAAAAAAAAAAGGAAAAATACAGAGCTTCCCTGTGAATTAATAACCCCTTTGAGTCACTTTTGAGTCATTGCTTTTGTAGCAGAAGCTACTTTTCAGGAATTTGAGCACCCAAGGACGGAAATTAATCTGACGTTCACCTTACTTTGTCAGGTGAAAATTACAAAGATCAAAAGAATGCAGGGAGACAGGTCCATAGGGCACCTTCTTATGCTCTCTGCAAATTGTACGTCTTTTCTTCTAGTCATAATTTAAAACCACTTAATGTCACGTGTGTATGTGTAGTCATGTCTCCATACAATGAGAGTTTTAAAAATTGAAGCCAATGAAAGACTTGAGCCCCCAGGCAGCCCACATTCATCTTTCCGAATGCTGGCAGGGAACTCTCCCATTGCACACAGCCTTTTATACGTTGAAGATGCTGGCTTTGGCTGTGTTCTTTATTATTGTTGGGTGAGATTTTTATGCGTTTTTAATAGTCCTTCATTAAACTAATGGGAGGTCTCACTGCTCAGCACGGCCCGTGTGCTCCCAAACTGTCATGAAGTGATTGGGTTATTTTTGGTGGTGGAGGAGAAGCTGTGAAAACCCACCCAGCACAAAGGGGAAGGGGAAGGGGGTGGGAGAGAAGAAAGCGTCTAGATTGAGGGCCCTGGAGAAGCTTCTGCGGATGGAACCAGATATGTGCTGACCCTGCTGCTGAGCTGGGCCCTGCTTCTGAGCTGAACTGGCTTTTTAGTTCTGTTGGCAAGAAGCCTCCAGCTACCATGACAGAGCGGTTCGTTGGGGGCAGAGGTAGATGGAGATTGAGAACCATTTATCATCCTGCCCCTGGCTTTCCTTTCAACCAGGAGTGGTTACCATCATTCCTGCCAGCCTGCATCAGAGCTGGGAGCTTTAAAAACTGAGAGGCAGGTTCTTGGGCAGTAACTGAGGCTAACCATCCCATCGGAGCAATAAGGAGACAGAGCACCAAAGAGTGAATGACTCAAATGTAGCAAATACTAGCTCGCTCAGAACATGAACGTGGGTTTGAAGAGTCTGTCCGGGGTTCTTTGGTTACTCTGGATGATCTGACTTTTCTCGTTGGTGTCCAGGCCGTTGAATGAAATGAAATCCTCTCTTGCTACAGCCTGCCCAGCAAGGGCAAATGGGCCTATTTTTCCCTGATTACATAATTAATAGTTTTGTTTTCTTCATGATTATAAAAGGTAGCTTCATACTATAAAGAGGTGTAGAGAAGAAAGTGAAAATGACTGATGATCTCTGCATCCTGAGATAATCACTGTTAATGCTTGTTGTCTGCCCTTCCAGGCTTTTTAGCAAGCATAGGTATGTGCATGTCCCCCTTTTTAAACAAAAAGTGCATCTTACTGTTCAAGTAGTTTATGTTTTACCTTTTAAAAAAATTTTTTTGAAGTATAGTTGGTTTACAGTGTTGTGTTTATTTCTACTAAATAGCAAAGTGAGTCAGTTATACACATATAATCATTCCTTTTTGGATGTTTTACTTTTTTCACATTAACAATCTTTAGTCATCTTCTGTATTCTAAAAAGTTTTTAAAGTACACTTTTTTCATGCTCAAAAACGTGAGGGCATTTGAGTTACCAAAAAAGAAAAACAAAAAAAAAGGGCGAGATGGCAGGTGGGGGAGGGGGAGAACGAAAGTTAACAGCTCCCTACAATGTTGAAAGAAAAGAAACATTCAAAGGAATTATACAAAATCATTTCATACCAGTGCATCTTACACCCTTCAGAATGTCCTTCATCTCTTAGCTACATTAATCTCTTAATCAGTGAGTGAATATTCTTTTTTAAATATCACCTTTATTTAGGGAGCCCTGGCGTCCTGCAGTCCATGGGGTCTCAAAGAGTCAGACATGACTGAACTGAACTTATTTAAGCATAATCCATGTACTGTGTTGATTAAATATATAATACAATAGGTTTTAACAGTTGGGTATATACACCCTGGACATCATCACTCCAATACAGAACATTTCATCACCCCAGGCAACTCCGTAAGTCTTTACACTTTACTCCTCCCTCCCAAACCAGCAGTCACCCATCTGCTTTTGTTCACTGTAGAATGTTTATAATACATGTATGTAGTATGTACTCCTCTGCGTCTGGCTTCTTTCCTTTGGGTGTATTTTTTAATGTAAATTTTAAGATGTTCTTCATACAGAAAAGTATAAAAGTCATATAAGTATTTAGCTCAACCTGTTATTTTTAATAAATGGTTTATCAAGATTGTTTCATTAACAGAGACCCAAAATAATAGGGGCTGAACCAGGTAGAACTTTCTTTCTTGTGCAGAAATCCTAATTCCATATGAAAATTCCACTCCACAAAATTCTCAGGGACCAGGCTCCCTCCAGCTCATGAGAGATGACCCTTGTCCTCATGTTCTAAGATGGTGACCAGGGCTCCAACCATCACATCTGCCTTCCAGGCAACAGGATGAAAAAAGAAAGACAAAGGGTTTGTGGCAGCTGTCTTTTAAGGCATTCTGGGGAGTTGCAGTGTAACATTTGTCTTTATTTTTAATTTTTTTGGCCATACCCTGTGGCATGTGGAATCTTAGCTCCCTGACCAGGGATTGAACCCACACCCCCTGCAAAGGAAGATGGAGTCTTAATAACCACTGACTGCCAGGGAAGTCCCTGGCTTCATCTTAATAGGCAGTTAGTACTTAATTGTACTCCCTGCTGCAAGGGAGGTTGAGAATTTTTCCACCCCCCCTTGGAAAATACACTTGCGTGAAAGTCAGGGACTCAGGCTCTAGAACAGGAGAGTATTTGGGGAGAGACACCCATCATCTCTGCCACAGATGCATGTTCTTCTCTGCAGGGCTGTCTGTGCTGAGGCTCGCCACCCTAGTTGTAGGCTGTGTGGGTTTCCTCCAGGCCAGGAATGTGATGTGGCTGTGATGAATGTGCTGTGGGTCTCAGTCTGGTACCTAGTCTCTAGCCAGGGCTCCAGCTAGAACCCAGTAGCATATGTGGCTGTTTTCATTTACATGCAAGTTATCTGAAACTTTTTTAAAAAATTCAAAATTCCCTTTCAGAGTCACAGTAGCACCATTTCAGACTCAGTAGTCACATGAGTCTTTCGTGAGTCTCAAGGCTAGTGGCCACTCTGTTGGACGAGCAGATATCAAACATGTACATCTCGTCAGGGTGTCCAACCTGTGGGGCTGAGTGTGGATTTCACCTTGGAACTCCTGGATGTCTCAGATGGGTGACCTTACTCAGGGCTTGACCTACAAACCACAGGTGGCACCTTGCCTGCAGTTAGATAGCCTCCACTCTGCAGGTTTCCTCTAGGTTGGATGCACTTGAAGGTGGCCTTGGGAAGAGTCAGATGCATTCAGAAAATTCTGACTTGGGTTTCAGTGGGACAGTTCTTCTGAGGCGGTAGGAGTGTTTGCATAACCTGCAGGTAGCATGGGCCGCTCCTCCAGTTTCACAGTTTGGGTGGGAACGAAAGACCGTGAGCCCCGTCGACTCGCTGTGATGCAAGATTGCAAAGACGTCGGGAAGGGTGTCTCTGAGTGTTCCGCCACCCGGGAAATGGGCCAGGGCTTCAGCACGTCTGTCTTCTGAAAGTCATGGTATGTTTAGCTCCAGAATAGTTTAAAGCAGATTTGAATGCACGGCGGATAATGATAAATTTCACAGCTGAGCGATCTCAGAGGACATCTGCTTGGGTGCTATTCACTCACGATCTGACTGCCTTGGTGTGTTTATTTTTCTTTTGACAGTCATAAGTGGTAGGGGAGAGAGGGAAGATTTCAAGATCCATCTTAAGGTGATTAAACTGGCCCTGGGTCCCCTGACGAGGGCGCGGTTGAGTCTGCAGTGGCCCGCTGCTCCCCGAGGTGGGGAGGTCGGATGTCCGGGGAAACTGGGAACTGGTCGCTACCTGTGTGCCCCCAGACCACGGCGTGGGGGGCACTCTCCTCTGCCTTTTCTCGGAGCAGTGACACAGGTCAGAAGCACTGCTTGGCAGCTAAGGGCTCATCCCTACGGCTCCTCCTTGGATGCCTCCAGTGACCAAGAGCTCACCCCTTCGCCTCAGTATTCTCTCTTGATTGGGGTCAGCCCTTCCTGTTAGAAAGTTCAGGTCTTGCTGTCCCAGCCCCTCTTTGTGTTCCAGTCGCTGGCTGGAGCAGCCTCGTGTGATCTGCTCCCAGGAGAGATGGTGGAGCCAGGCTGTCAGGGTTCGAAACCCAGCTCCTGACTGTGGGACCTTGGGCGAGCTACTTACCCCACGTGCCCAAGGGTCCTCCCCTCACGCTATACATAGTAACAGAACCTGCCTGGTAGGAATGTTGTGAAGATTAAGTGAGTTAATAATGTAGGAAGCACTTAGAAACAGTTCCGTAAGGGAAGCTGTTATTTTTACTGTTCTTTCCCATAAATCTTTCGTCCTCCCAGGCCTCTCCCTTTTACCTCCCAAGTCTGTCTGCAGGCCTGGGAGGCAGTCCTCTTTTTTGTTTTTTTAAATACTTTTTTTTTTTCAGTCCTGCCACACAGCATGCAAGATCTTAGTTCTCCAATGGGGAACTGAACCCAGGCCCCAGCAGGGACAGCACCAAGTCCTGACCACTGGACCGTCAGGGAATTTCCAGGGGGCAGTTCTCTTTGATATCTGATTGCAGGGGTGTCTCAGGAAGGTCTCTCGGACCCCAAGATGGGTGGGAATGGCCAGGCCACAGTGGCCACACCGTGAAAGGAGCAGAGTAGGGGGAACGGTGGGCTTGTGGAGCCAGGTCCTGGGGGCATGTCCCGACTATGTCAGTCACCAGAGGGATGTTCTTGGCAAGCCGTTGACCCTGTCTGTGAACCAGCTAAAGTGAAGTGTTAGTCACTCAGTTGTGTCAGACTCTTTGCAGCCCTATGGGCTGCAGCCCACCAGGCTCCTCTGTCCGTGGGATTCTCCAGGCAAGAATACTGGAGTGGGTTGCCAGTCCCTTCTCTAGGGGATCATCCCAACCTAGGGATCAGACCCATCTCTCCTGCATTGCAGGTGGATCCTTTCCCATCTGAACCAGCTAAGGGGGCAGACACACGCTTGCTGGGGTTGCCAGTGAGAATTCAGATGAGACCGCGTGGGCAGCGGCCTGGTGGGCTCACTGCAAGCACTTTGTAAATAGACTTTCTCTCCTCTGAGTTCAGGAACCCCTTGTTGAAATGAAGTCCCTGCTGTCTCCCCTCCAGTCCACAGACGTTGGCTGGGGCTGGTTGTCAAGTGACCCCCAGAATGGATTGTGTGATGAGGAAAGGGGGGACACCAGGGGCACAGCCCAGGAGGCATCAGAGAGCCATCGTAGCCGTCCAGCCGTCTGGACCCTAGGCCTGGGCACGTTGCCATGGTAACGTCCAGACAACCATTTGGTGGGCTCTCCCAGCAACTGGCCTCGTGGCCTCTGTGGTCAGTCTCCCCGCGCGTCCTTAGGTTTCTTGGCTGTCCCAGGGCCTTCCTGCTGTCTGCAGCCCCAGGGCAGGGCCACAGCTGAGCCAGCTTCCTTGGAGGAATGCCAGCACCAGAAGGGCCTTGAGAGATCTTATCCAAGCCCCGAATTTAACAACCGAGGCCAAGAAGGCTCAGAGAGGTGGAGTGATTACCCCAGGGTCACACAGCAGTCAAGCAGACTGAGAACCTCATGTGTGCGCCTCTCCCGTCTCACCGTGGCTTCCTCCATCGGGCTGCCGTGGCGGGAAAGGTGATGCAGGCAGTGCAGTCTGAGGGGCACAGCAGCTCCCTGGCGGCAGCTTTCAGCCCCGCACCCGCTGCGTGTGCAGCCACGGGTGGGGAGGCTGACTCCTGGCGGGGCCTGCTTGGCATCGGGTAGCCTTGTGTGCAGAGGTGAGAGGAGGGGCAGAGTGGAGGACCTGGAGAGATGCTCATAGCAAACTAGGATCTGTTCCTCAGCGCCGCCAAATTGAGAGGGAACAGTTGGACCTTTTAGATGGGACCCTGGGCAGAGACCAGAAGCCCGGGAACACCCAGGGCTGGGCCCAGACAGGTGATGGTAGGAGGAATGGGTTTATTTTCTTTTAGCTTATTTCCCACTTGTTACTAACTGGATTCATATTTTAAGATCTCTTAAGGCACAAATCCATATTCAGGCATCAGGCATTATGGAAAAAAAGGCTTATGTGGTTAGATGGAGACAAAATACTTGCGTCTTTCCTGCACTGAGTGTTTTTGAAGAGGAAACGGGTAATGTAGAAAGGGCCAGAAACCTGAGCGCTTGACTGGTGTCCGAAAGAAGGGTCCCCCACTGCCACGCAGGCATTACTTGTCCTATGTGATTGTCCGGATCTGAGACCCAGCTCGGGTGCCGCCTCCTCTGTGCAGGCTTCCCTGCTTTGTAACAAAGCTTCTCCACATGCTCCAGTCCTTCTGTCTCTTGATGTGCTTTTCTGTCTTTTCCCAATGATACTGTCAACTCCTTGAGAGCAAGCTCTGTGTCTATCTTTTCAGCTTCCCCATTCCACCCCCAGCCCAGGGCACTCTCCGCCCCTCCAGGGCCCAGTGGGGCTTCCCACAGCCCTTGCTTAGTACACATGAGCTGAACTGATACCTCACCTTCATTACCTCTTAAGGAATATCACTTTCTGCTGAGTGTCACGGTGATTTGTGCACGCATTTTATTTTCCTGTTAAGTCGGGGATGGTTAACTTTTTCCAGAAGAGCCTCATAGAAAATGTGGATCTTGCAGACCTTATGGGTCTGTGCACAACTACTCAGATCCATTGGCAGCAGAAAGGCAGCCACAGACAATACGTTACTGAACGGGGTGCCGAGTTTCCAAGCACAGTGTGACTTACAAAAGTCGGGTAGTCATTTGGCCCTAATTTGCTGGTCCCCGAACTAGGCGATCAGCTCCTGAAGAGGTAGGTCTGTGTCCAAGCTGCCTGGTGTCCAGCAGAGAGCCACACAATAAGCCAGCGCTTCGCAAATGCTAATTTAGAGATTATCAAATGGAACAAAAGGCAGAAACTTGATCTACACGTATGCATCCATCATTACCCAGTACTTTTACCCCAAGGATGCTCACAACAGAAGTGCCGGCCTGGGGTCACCAGAGGCCACCTACCTAGTGTCATAGCAGAGTTATTTGCAGTGGCTCCAAACTAGAAACTAACCCAGTGCCAACCACCCGAAGGGGTGAATTGCATTGTTTTTGCACAGTGGGATACAGTGCGGCAATGGATATAAACGTGTCCCGCGCTAAAGTACAGCTGAATCTCACAGATGTGATGTGGAATCGAGACAGAGAAGATGACACAAAGGATTAAATCCTATATGATTCTACTCACATAGTGCCAAGACAGGGAAAGTAAATGTGTGCCATTAGCAGTCAGGAGAGCAGTAACCTTTGGTGCCGGGGTGACTGGGTGGGGGGTGCTGAAAGAGGCTTTCTGGGGCACCGGTTACCTTCTGTTCCTTGATCAGGGTGCTGGTTACATGAGAGTGTCATTTGTGAAACTTCATCAAGTCCTGCGCTTAGGACTTGACCACTTTTCTGTCAGTGTTATAGTTGGATAAAGCCTTTGATTTATTTAAAAAAAAAAAAAAGGAAAGAAAGTCTGTACAAACAGTATTTAAGTGGAGATGCCTCTGCGCCGTGCCCTTTCTCTGGCGGATGCTTCCCTCTGAGTCCAGGTTCCAGAGTCCTCTGGGCTGTTTGCCCCATGAATGGGAGCTGGTCCCTCCTTCCTTCTCTCTCTCAGAGGACCAGAGTAGAACCCTGGGTCCTGCGGGACGGGAGAAGCCAGCCAGCTTCCCTGCCTCTGCTCCGCCCCGCCTCCCCCGCACGCTTTCCCGCAGTGTGCGTGTGAAGGACCGCATCTCCAGGCTTCTTGCCTCCTCCCCAGAACATCGTGGCCGTAGGCGCCGGGTTCTGTGACGGCCTCCTCTGCGGCGATAACACAAAAGCTGCCGTCATCCGCCTGGGGCTCATGGAGATGATCGCCTTCGCCCGGATCTTCTGCAAAGGCCAGGTGTCTACGGCCACGTTCCTGGAGAGCTGCGGCGTGGCCGATCTCATCACCACCTGCTACGGGGGCCGGAACCGCAAGGTGGCCGAGGCCTTCGCCAGGACCGGCAAGGTAATCCCGAGCTGGGGGGCGGGGGGTGTCCCGGGCTGGGGAAGAGCCGCTGTCCAGGGCACGGAGGCTGTATGTGCGGGGCTCGTCCTGCCCACGCCACCTGCCTTCACTAGCCAGCGCTTCGGTCCTACCACCTCTACCTTGCGTGTTCTTACCTTTCCTTGGCCTGCTGCTCCCCTCCCCCTCCCCTGCTTTTAAAATAAGTGAGCCTTAGGGCCTTTCCCGACATTCCAGTGGTTAAGACTCCAGCTTCCATTGCAGAGGGCTTGGGGTAGATCTCTGGTTGGGGAACTAAGATGCCACATGCCATGCGGCACCGCCAAAAATTTTTTTTAAAGTGATGCTCTAGATGTTACAGGAGATTATGTTCATCCATTGTTTTTAAGACCATCGAAGAACTGGAGAAGGAGATGCTGAATGGACAGAAGCTGCAAGGACCTCAGACTTCAGCCGAGGTGTACCGCATCCTCAAACAGAAGGGGCTGCTCGACAAGTAAGTGCCCCGTTTTCCGCGAGGCCAGAGGATCAGCTGGCATTGCGCTTGCTGATGTGCACGGTCAGTGCTTGACTCAGGCGTCTGCCAGGCATGGGCAGGAAGTTAGCAGAGCAGTGCCATCCTTCGTCTGTTGTGAGGGTCTACGGCAGGAAACGTCTGCCTGCCCTGAAAACGAGCATCTACCCAAAATCCGAAATGAGGGAGGGGAAATGAGCCCTGTTAGGCACACTATCAGGTTGGCGAAAAAGTTCACTCGGGTTTTCCCATAAGCGGAAAATCCCCAGCGAACATTTTGGCCAACCCAAGACAAAATAGGAGTTTGAGATTCTGGCTTGCCCTGTGGAGTATTTGGTAAGAGTTACACGGGCTTTCCAGGTGGCTCAGTGGTAAAGAATCCGGCTGCCAAGCAGGAGACCTGGTTTGATCCCTGGGTGGGGAAGATCCCCTGGAGTAGGAAATGGCAACCCACTCCAGTATTCTTTCCAGGAAACAATGGACAGAGAAGCCTGGCGAGCTACAGTCCATGGAGTCTCAAAAGGGTCAGCATGACTTAACACATGACTTAACATGAGTTAAAGCAATGTGTCATGTATTTTTCATTAAAAATTAAAAAAAAAAAGGTTACTTTGTCCTTTTGATAAAAAGATAACTTGTTAAGGAAATGTCAAGCAATTCAGGGAAAAAGGAAGGACAAGTCCCCGTAGGACTCTGGCCCAGAGGTGCCCTGTGTTAAGGTGTGATGAGGAACCTTGGAGTCTCCTCACCTTTCAGGTGTACCCATCCATACTCTGCTTAAAAAAAAAAAGTACCATCTATGTGCAACCAAGACCAGACCCTAGGACCCCAGGATAGCACACGGATAGGCTCGGGTCCAGTCCTTTGCTAGGATTCCGAATTGACTTGTTGGCCAGTGTGAGTCTGTGTGGGCCCTCTGACTGCAGGGGGATGCAGGCTGGAACAGCCGTTCTGGGATCAGTACCTGCCTGTTTAAAAGCACATGTAGCCAAGCAGGGAAACCTGCCTCTCCCTAGTCATGTCCCATTTCCTTCTGATTAGAAGTGGACCTTCTAACTGATAGAAGCTGGTGAAGGACAGGGAGGCCTGGCGTGCTGCGGCTCATGGGGTCACAGAGAGTAGGACACGACTGAGCGGCTGAACTGAACTGAGAAGTGGACCGTGTCGTGCCTGTGTTGAATGAGGTCGCAGCTGGGTTGGGGTCCCTGCCCTTCTTGCAGGCTGCATGTTGAGTCCCTCAGTGGCTCAGGCAGAGCTGAAGTCCTGCCATTCTCACTTGGCGCCACCTCTTACCCGGATTTCTTTCTCTGCCATTCCAGCCATCATCACCCTGGTCTTCCTTCATTTCCTCCTCCCTTTCCTGCTGTAGAAAGAGTATTGAGGGGGAGGCCAGTGGCCTTGTGGCTCGCCAGCTGCGTGGTCTTGGGCAGGTCATGTTTTTAGCTGTTCTGTGCCCTTTTAGCTACAAACTCAAACTGGTAGACCAGATGACTGCCGTGGTTACCTCTAACTCAGAGACCTCCTGTTCTTTGAGAATGAGGTCCACAGGCCTTAGGTTGGTGTCTCAGTCCAGTTACCAACTTGGCTTCTAACAGCATGTCCTGTGAGCCCTGTTTAGTGGAAGTAGACCTCCCTTGCCCCAAGCGCCTCTTTCTCAGACTCCTGTGTGCCTTTGCCTGGCACTTTGACCTGCCTGGACACCCCCTTCATGAGCATCTCAACCATCATGGCCCATGAGGCAGCCTGGGTATGTCCTCAGAGAACCTCTTCCATATCCTGTAGACTTACATCACTTCCCGTGCTTTGAAATTACTGTTTAGAGCAGCGGTCAGCCAACTTTTTGTCCAGAGAATCACATAACAAAATTTCACCTTTGTAGACCACACACAGGCCTCTGCTTATGTAGTCTGTTTCCTTTTATAGCCCTTTAAAAATGTAAAAATCATTCTTAGCTTGCAGGTGGGGCAAAAACAGGTCACAGGCAAGACTTGTGTTTCTGGCCGTGGTTTGCCACATCCCTGGTTTAGACACGATTGCTGCTAATGTGTTGCTGCTGAACTTACAGTTTTACTTTGATTTTTCAAGTCTGGGAGGGGGACCACGCTTCTGGGAGAAAAAAACGTTGAAACCATACAACAAGGCGTGCGAGAAAAAGTGGGCCCGGATCCCCACCACAGACAGAAGCAGCTCTCTCAGGGCTCCTTGAACTTCCCACATGGCGCTTCTTTGTGTGACGGTGACAAACCCCACAGTCCGCTCTGCCCCTTTTCTAACCTGCAGGGTGTGTTTGCAAGATTGTTCAACATCCGCACCTAGAGATCTTGTTTAATGTCTGCAGAACATTCCACAGTGTGGGAGAACCTCGGTTTGTTTATTAACCAGTTTCCCCTTGATAAATGTTAAAGTTGTCTGGGTTTTAATGCGGTCATGAAATTTGCTTTCTTCAACGTCCTTCTGGCTGTCTTTATGACCACGTGTGAGTATTGGGTATTTGTCTGCTCAGGCTGCTGAGGCGAAATACCACAGACAGAGCGGCTCACACAACAGAAATTTCCCACAATTCTGGAGGCCGGAAGTCAAAGATAGCTATCTGCAGGATTGACCTCTCTGAAGTGTCTCTTCTCGACCTGCAGATGGCGGTCTTACCCCCATATCTTCTGGTGTCTGTCCCAGTCTCTTATAAGGACACCAGCCATATTGGTTTAGGGCGCATCTTAATGAACCCTTTTCACTTAATTTCCTCTTTAAGTGCACTATCTCTAAATATAGTCATTCTGAGGTGCCGGGGCATTGAGTGAATTGAGGGGGCTGGGGTACAATCAGCTTGTGACAATGCTATAAAGGGCTGGGTCCTCATTTATATATAACACTATACATCTCTGTGCCTTAAGGATGTTTCAGATGGTAAAGAATCTGCCTGCATTGCGGAAGACCCAGGTTCAATCCCTGGGTCTGGAAGATCCCCTGGAGAAATAAATGGCAACCCAATCCAGTATTTTTGCCTGGAGAATTCCGTTGACAGAGGAGCCTGACGGTGCATGGGGTCTCAGAGAGTCAGACATGACTGAGCGACTAACACATACATCCCTGTTCTGTCGAGGCCTGACACATCTAAGCCCTCAGGCTCCGTTAGTGGGGTAGCTGATTGATAGGTTCATGTCCATTTTTTAATGGAACATTGTCTTCTGTCCTCCTTTCACTTTTTTTTTATTTTAAAATTTATTTTTTTGTTTGGCTATGCCAGATCTTAGTTGCAGCATGTGGGAGCTTTAGGGATCTTTAGTTGCAGCATGTGAGATCTAGTTACCTGACCAGGTTTTGAACCCAAGCCCCCTGCATTAGGAGTGTGGCGTCTTAACCCCTGGACCACTAGGGAAGACCTTCACTTTTTTTCTTAACCTAGTTTATTTTTTGGAAGTACAGTTGCTGTGCAACATTGTATGTTACACGTATACAATATAGTGATTAACAACTTTTAAAGTTTATACTCCATTTACAATTATTATAAAATACTGGCTGTGTTTCTCATGTTGTAAAATACACCTGTGTAGCTTATTGATTTCATAACAGTTTGCACACCCCGTTCTTCTCCCTCTGTCTTGCCGCTCCTGCTTCCCTCTCCCCGCTGGTAACCACTAATTTCTTCTCTATATGTGAGTCTGCAACTCTTTCGTTATATTCATTAATATTCTTTTTTATGGCTGAGTAGTATTCCATTGTTTATGTGTACCATATCTTCTTTGTCCATTCATCTGTTGATGACTGTTCAGGTTGCTTCCATATTTTAGCAATTATAAATAATGCTGCTATGAATATTGGGGTGTACATACCTTTTCAAATTAGTGCTTTTGTTTTTTTCAGATATGTGCCCAGGAGTGGGATTGCTGGGTCATAAGGCAGTTCTATTTTTAGTGTTTTGAGAAACCTCCGTACTGTTTTCCACAGTAGCTACACTAGTTTACATTCCCACTAATGGTGTACTAAGGTTCCCTTGTCTCCACATTCTTGCCAACATTGGTTATTTGTGTTCTTTTTCATGATGGCCATTCTGACAACTGTGAGGTTATGTTCCTTTTGACCTGGATTTCTATGATGATTAGTGATGTTGAACATCTTTTCCTGTGCCTGTTGGCCATCTGGATTTCCTCTTTGGAAGAATATCTATTCTGTTCTTATGCCCATTTTTTAATCATGTTGTTTGTTTGTTGATAGTGAGTTGTATGAGCTAGTCATTTCATTTGCAAATATGTTCTCCCATCCGGTAGGCTGTCTTCATTCTGCTAATGGTTTCCATGTCCTCCTTTCACTTTTTCACCTTCTTTAGAGAGCTCCTCAAACTGATCTAATTGGCTTTATAATCTTTTATTTTTGGATGTCATGTGGTCCTGAAATAAGTCCTTTTCTAAAAGAAAGATTTTAAGAAAAAAAAGGAAAGAAAGATTTTATTTTTGAGCTGCAGTGGGGCTTCAGTGCTACGTGCAGCCTTTTTCTAGTTGTTGCAGACAGGGGCTCTCTTCCCTGGGGTGCTGGGGCTGGTCACTGCGGTGGCGTGTCTTGGTGCAGAGCACAGGCTTCAGGTGCGTGGGCATCAGTAGTATAGCACTTGGACTCAGTAGTTGTCACTCACGGCTCTAGAGTGCTGGCTCCAGAGTTGTGGTGCATGTGGGGTCCTTCCAGACCAGGGATTGAACTGGTGTCCCTTACACTGCAAGGTAGATTCTTAACCACTGGACCACCAGGAAAGCCCATAACATTTTAAACAATAGAAAATAGCATTTAGATGGGCATTATAGCCTAATGGTTTAGTGTTAGCTACAAAAGTCAGAAACTGTGCCTCAGTTTCATACATAGAATAGGGATAATATTATCTACCTTATAGTGTGGTTGTGAGGGTTAAACAAGTTACTTGTCAATAGAAATGTTCCCCCCCTACCCTGTATCACTTGTCATCATCTCATCTGCAGAACATATTTTGAAAACGCTAGTTGTGAAAATTGGGAGTACTTTTGGCTTCATGAGTAACAGCCAATTAAAACACCTTGAACAATATGGTTATTTTTCTCACATAACAGATTCCAGAGGTGGATTATTGGTGTTGTCTCAGTGTCTCTGGGTTATAATCTTAGTGATCCTGTTGGCCTTTCCTTAAAGCCTCAACATAGCTGCAGCAGCTCCAGGCATCACATACTCACAGCTGCACTCAGCAGCATGGAGCAAGGATAGTCTAGCAGATATTTTTGTCCAGTGCCTCTCAAGGAGAGAAAGATCTTCCACAGAAACCCTCCCAGATGTATTCTGTCTTGCTAGCTAGAACTTGCTTACTTGGCCAATTCTGGTGTGAAAGAAAGGCTGAGATAGGGTATTTCTAACCTCAGTAAGGAGAGAAGGGTGTTGGGAATGGCTTTGGGTGGCACTCATCACGTGCCACTCTGCTTGAGGAACATACAAATTGTTCTCATCATAGAAACAGGAAAATTAAGTCATGGAAGGACAAAGGAAGGAGTTAAAATCTCCTGGTATTAACTCCCATTCACAAGAATTCATTCGACACTCACTCACTAAGCACCTGCCTCTTGCCTGCACTGGGCCAGGCCATTTTGATGCAGAGGTGAGCAAAACTAGGCTTGGGCCCTGTCCTCTCGGATAGTCTAGAACCCTTGGCTGCAATGTGGCTGCATTTACAAGCTGCTGTTTATTACACACATCATATATCAAGTGTCCTATTTTGTACTTCACACATTAAGTCACTTAATACAACAATCCTGAGTGTCCATTCCAATCTGCAGATGAGCAAAGGGACAGAGAGGTTGTGAAGCTTGCCCAAAGTTAATAGGCTGTGAAATCAGATTTTATTAAGTCTAGCTGACTCTGAAAAATGCTAGAACTTTCTGCATCTTCAAAAACCCACAATGACAGACTGTCATAAAGACATGTAACCTATCAGCATTGTTTCCTGTTCTTAAGTCATGTTATCACTGTAGAATGCTTAACTAGATAACTTTCAGAATGGTTTTTAAGATTCTTGTGATTCTTTCAAGTTCACTTTAGGCAATGTGTATGGGTTTGAAAGCCGGTTGACATTACTTAGATATTTCCTTAGTGATTTCTGCATTAAAAAAATAAATACTTACTGAGTGAGCTAGCAGTACCCTGGGATAATGTCACCTTTTTTTATAGTGGTTAGTAGCCCACTCCTTCATTCCCTCATCCATTTCAAACTGTCATTTATACCCGTGTTCGCATCTTAGAAGCAGCAGCAGAATAAATTCTGCTTCCCACGTGAGATCAGCATTTTGCTAATCGTGAGTCCCCTTGTTGATTCTTGTGAGAGTGTTCCAGGCCTCCATTATCTATGGTGCTGTGTGGGCTGCCTTGTCTTCATCCTTGGATGATTCGTTTTAGAGAAGCGAGAGCAGTGCCTCCCTACAATTTAAAATTTATTCTCCAACCTTTTAAAATAGTGACATAAACCTGAATCCCTTCCAGATTTGGCCAAGAGCCTGAGCCACAACTCTTGATGTTGGCGACCACAGATCACCCTGTAAAGAGTACCCTGGGACGGGTCTGTAGACAGCACACTCCAAGGAACCAGAGGATGGTTTGGGTTGTACCAGGTTCTTATAGCCACGGTGTAGAGGCTCCCTGCAGACCACATAAGGAAGGGATGTGAAGGAGGGCGCTTTGTTTTCCAATAGTAGCATGCTAGTCTGCAGTCTGTTAGACAGGACAGAAAGACTGGTTGGATCTATGAGGTAGACCAGATGTCTTAACTTGTCTTTTCCCATCCCCCCTCCCTCAACCAGGTTCCCGTTGTTCACTGCCGTGTACCAGATCTGCTATGAAGGCCGGCCCGTTCAAGAGATGTTGTCTTGTCTCCAGAGCCATCCAGAGCATATATAGAGTGAATCATGCAACCTATCAGGAAACGGCCTGCCTTTCGTATCAGACACTTAGATGGGTGGAAAGCAGGACTTGGCAACAGAGATGTATGCTTGACTGTCATCCCGTCATGGATGAGTATGAATTCTTACCAGGTCCACTTTTGAATTGCAAGATGAAGTTCACTGGCTCAGATGTTACTGGGCAACATCTAGACGCACATATGTGACCATGTGAGTGTGTGTTCCTTTCTCATTGTATGGATGTTTCTATGAACCAAAATTAAAGGCCCTTTTTAAAAAATCACTTTTGAAATTTTCCCACCATGGTAGCTTGCAAGATGTGGAACTATCATAGCTAAAGTTTTGAGTTTCACTGAAGGATTTTTTTTTTCTCATTCTCAAGGTTAAAACGTAACAAGCATTAACATGGCAGAGTAGATGAGTGAGGGGGTTCAAAGATCAACATACCGTAACTTAAGCACTATCTGAGAGCCAGTGTAATTAACTACTTCAATTGTGGGTTGATCTTTTTTTTTTAAGTAATTACATATTTTAGTTAGGTAATCCACTCATCTGTATATTCCACTCATTGCAGTTTTCTGCACTTTTAGCCTCTTTTCTCTTCGTTAGCTACCAGAATGTACTTTGGCAAAGGCACAGCAGTGGCGGAAGGCAGAAAACCCACCTGGAATGTTCCTGCTGTGTTCTTCTGATTAGCGACCATTGTATGATGCTTTTTGTCAGGTTGTACTTCCGTTCACACATTTCCTGTAAGCCTCACAGATCCCCTGAAAGGGGGCAGCTGTTATTCCTCTAAGGTCCAGCCTCCGTGCCTGGTCATCTGACGAGAAGGGCCAGATCCAGAGACTCTCGGTCGTCACTGGCCTTTGAACTCCCACTGACTGGTCGTAGCAAATGCTGTCCCCAGGCTTTCTTGAGGTGTGGGCAGCTTTCTGCAGTTGAGGCTTGCATGGTCCTTGTCTAGGAGGATGGCACTCAGTGGGGACCTCACTCCATTCGCTCCACTTGGAGTCTCTTAGAACATAGGTTCCCAGGTCCCTCCCCGACCCCAGCCCCTGAAGTGGGGTCTTGTATCTCTGCTTTGACATGCCTTCCATGTGTTTTCAATGCTCACTACTGTCTGAGAACCACTACTGTAGAAAATGTATTATTTAGATTAGCATTTCTCAAACCATGTTCCATAGGAAGCCAGTGTCCCAGGATCCAGTAGTGGTCCTGCTGTTGCCTGGCAAGATCCAGTGAGTTTGGGAAAAGCCGAGTCCGTACATCCCTCCTGAAGGGACAGACTGTGTTCATGGAATGTGCTTACTTAACCCAGCAAGTCCCAGACAGATTATGGAGATTTTTTTTTTTTTTTTGGCAAGGAAACTTACCAGAGTTTCCAAGGAACACTATTCCAGGCTGAGGTACCCATAGGACAGCACAAGTATGCTTCACTCTCTGCAAGAAATGAGAATGAATGGTTGCCTGTGGTATTGTTCATTCCGCACCTTTATATAAAATTCAGGTCTGCCACAATCTTTGCTGAAGCTTTAAGGCGACACTTTCAGGTACAGCCAAGTGGATGTCAACTTCGCTGAAACGCACACTGTGTGGACTAAGTGCTTTTAATTCTAGAATTAGAACGGAAATGACTGTATCTTTGTAAATGTGATCGGTTTCAAGAGAGCACTGCAGTTACCTTACATAGTAGTGGATGAGTGTTAAGAAAACGTATGAATGTCTCTTACATATTCATGGATTTTCAGTCACTTTGAGATTATGACTTTTTTATTTTCAGCTTGGGATTTTTTTTCCCTTCTATACCTGGAATGATTGTAAACTAGATTTTTTGTGGGAATTTTAAAAACTCCTATACATAGAAGAATATGAAAGCACACAAAATGCTATGTTTCATCGATTTTAGTGCCACTGTTAATCAATTTTTGCTTGTCTCATAATTAATCTTTTTAAGAGTTTGTACATAAGTAACAAAGTTACTTTTTAAGATACATAAAGGGCTGTAAGCTAATTGTGGTGTCTGTCAAATAGCATCATCAGATGTGAGGATTCGGATTTTTGTCTTGTGTATATTCTTCATCTGCATTCAGCTTCCATCTCTGGGTTTTGTACTTGAGTGTTTTTTTCCTTTATAAATGCCTTCTCACCCTTCTGAAGTCTTCTGACTGTACCTTTTGAACATACTTATGATATTCTGCACATATAGAAAAAGGTAAATTTTATATAAGTTTATGCTTTGCTAACTGTAGATATTTATTACTCTACGAGTTATCTATTTTTATAACCACCTGTGGTCCATCATTTATTTTAATTCACCTTTCTTACTACTAATTATGGTAATTGGGGAGGGAGACATCTAGAAAAGAAGCTTAATTTATACTGTTTCAGCCAAATCTGTGAATGTAAAAACTACACTGTTGCCTTGCGATAATCCAGCCTACTATAATGTGGAACAATGTCCGTCTTGAAACCCATCCTAGCAGGTGGAATTGAGCTAAACTCCTGGTTTTTTATTTAAGTCTTAGCTATCATGTGGCCCCATGGCATCAGCCCAGGGAGTAGTGAGATGCCACTGTACCAAGGAATCTTCCATTTCTTCCACTAGCTCTAATCTAAGAGCCTTTTACCTACACATGTACTGTGTTTGTTTACAGACTGTAGGTGGATATGATTTCAAAGCTTGATTTAATAAAAATTGAATCCCCCCAAACCTGTGCTACTGATCCTATTTTTTTAAATCAGCTTATGTAATAGTTTTATTTGTTTAGGTAGTCTCTTTTATTTCTCTCCCTCAATTGTGTTACCTTGACAACAATAAAAAGGCAAATTTTAAAAGAAGGGCTTCATCTCTAATGCGTTCCTCAAAAACACATCTGCCTCCATTTGCCAGTGGGTGTTCCTTTCCATTGCTTGCTGATACTTTTATAGAACTACAAGCATAGGATTGAGGCCTTCTCCTTCCACCCATTCAGTGGATTAAATGTGAGGGTGAAAGGTTGTTGCTGAGCCACAGAAGACGCCGGGATTCTTGGTCTCTAGAGGAGAAGAATTCAATCCAGGACCAGAAGTGAGGCTTGATCGCTCAGAGCTTTTGTGTAATAGAGTGTTATTAAAGTATAAAAGAGATAGAGAAAGCTTCTGACATAGACATCAGAAGGGGCAGAAAGAGTACCCCTTCGCTAGTGTTAGCAATGGAGTTATATACTTTTTAATTACTTATTATAGTGAACAAAAGAATGTCTGGAGGTTGTCAAGACCTTACTAGACCCACTCCCATAATGTACATTTTAAGATAACAGAATTAGCCAGAAGTTTTTTTCTAGAAACTGTCCTCAAGCAGGATACATTATTGTTATATAATCCTAAGGAATGTAGAAGGAAAAAAAAGTTTGTCCTTTCTCCTCCTTGAGAATTCCAGACCCCTGTCTCCTTGGGGACCCCCGGACTTCTTATCAACCTGCCTAGGAACTGACTCTCTCAAGGGAAATGCCCAGAATCCTGAAACAAATGGCAGCGCTGATGGCCAGAGCAGTCAGGCTTTGATGAGGCTCTGCGACTGCGGGAGAAGGGGTGGGAGTGCTCACCGTGCCCCTAGGGGTCTGGGCTGGAAGGCTTGTGCTCCAGCCCTCCAGGGGCCACACAGTCCAGGGAAAAAATGGGCTAAGAAAGCACAGGTATGGGCACAAGCAAGAAAGTTGGGCACCAGGTGGAGAAAAAGGTCTCTGCTGAAAACTCGTAATCATGCCAGCACCACAAACAGGCTTTGGGTTTGAATTTTTACTTCCAGGAGTCACAAGCAAAAAGTTCACATAAAAATCGGAACTTGGGCCAGTGAGGCCAGTAACTGACAGAAGCAAAAATCAGCAACATCTGCAGAAAGCTCTCTGGGTCCCGGCTGCAAGGCTTCCCATAAATATGCACTTCCCATAAGTATTCTCCATTGAGTATGTACTTTTAAAATTATAACCACAAAATAGTGTATTATGAGTGCAGGTCAGTAGATTTTTTTTTTTTAAACGGAAGAATTACATGCCCAGGGTTCCAGATATTTATTTGAGCAAAATGAGAGATGCTTTGAAAGGTACTTTTAGGAAGAGGTGTACATGTAGATCCACTGGCCTGGGCAATGGTTCCTGGATTAAAGGCCCCAAATTTCCAAGGGCTCCACCACTCTCCTGGAGGCTCACTCAGTGACAGGTGTGAAGACAAATGAGCACAGAAACATCACATTCACCAGCCTGGGGCCTATTCACACAATGAGCAGGAAATGACTCAAATGTAAAAAAAAAAGGTCATATAAAGAAGATTAAACCATCAAGAAGGAGACTTGTAAACAAACCTATTTGAACATCTGGACATGAATATAAATTATGTCATTGGACAGATTAAAGAGTAGATTTGACAAGAGCCACAGATGGAATTAACAAAGTGGAAAATATATATGAAGATATTAACAGAAAGTAACAAAGAAAATATCTGAGAATTTAAGAGATAAGTAGAGGATAGGATAAAATTCAATATACATCTGATTGGAGTTCCAGAAGAAAGAGGGAGAGGCGATTTTTTAAAAAAGTAATGTCTGAAATTTGTCCAGAGTTAATTATCAGTTTTGTTATTCTCCCAAATATATTTCCATTAAAATTTTTCTCCGTTAAAATTTGATCACATAGACCTTATAACTTTACGACTGCTTGTAAAATAAGTTGATGATGAACTTTTTTTTTGGAAATAAGCTATATAAGAAAGCTATAAGCATAAGCTACTAATTTACTGAAGGTCTGATGGATTTGAGTACTGGAGCAAGTTGTGTCTCCTTTGGTTTGGATGAGAGGTGTGGCACTGTGGGAAGACTTGGGTTTCGGATTCTGCTTCATTGCCTTAGTATCCATTTAGTCAGGTCAGCCAAGTCTTCTTTGAAGTGCATTTTCCTCATTGATTGGGAATAATAACCATGCAACTCAAGGATTACTGTGAAGGTCAGTGAGAAACAGGAAATGA